GAGATGTGTATAAGAGACAGAGTTAAAATGGGTCACCCTGTATAAGTATACGAATATTTTGAGACCTCATTTTTTCCTATTGCGTTAAATTTTGGAAGGAGAGGTAGCTTGCTTAACGCGAAACGTCCCATATATATTTTTATATATATTTATGTACATATATTTGTTTTTTATAAAAAAAAATTTACCGGGTAGTTTTTGTTTGATTTACAACCACATAAACAAATTTTTTAAAAAAGTAGCAAAGTGAGTTTTGAAAAAATGACAAAATTTAAAAAAATTAGATTTATTGCTTTTTTTCGACATTCTTCTTTACCAAAGAAATTAAAAAATTAGAATTTTTATTGAATTGTGGATCAGATAAGAACTACATTTATATAGTTTTTTTTAGATTTTTTGTTACTTAAGAATCTTTTGAAAAAAGATGTTTTAGGTAATTGCACTTTCAATCATGGTAATAGTATAACACCCATTTCCATATAGGTTTGCAATTAAGTGCTATAAAAATCATTTAAATTTGAAATTTGTAAAAATAATTTAACTAAAAGATTTAATAAATGCACCAAGATTTAAGTGTAAAGTTTTGACATTTTTCCCAAAAAATTCTTTAAAAAATATAAAAAATATATAAAAATGTTACTGCAAACAAAAATATTTTTTTAAGAGCACTAGAAGTATCCTTATTTAGATTAGATATGAAAATTCTATAGAACAGAATGGAATCCTTTGATTATTTGTGCAGGGAGCGTCTGGTGAAACACGCCTACAAGATGTACCTGAGTCAACAGACTTATTATAGGGTATCGGCTTTGGACACTAGGCTTGGTGGAGCTGAGCAAAGACTGACAGATGACCTGTCAGAGCTAGCTAGTTCTGTAGCACATCTATATTCTAGTTTAACAAAACCGCTACTAGACTGTGCTTTAGTTGGTATAGCACTTATTTCGTTTTCACATAAAATGGGTGCAAAAACGATACCAGGTGAGATTTTTATGTTTTTACTGAATGGAATTGAATTAAATAATTAATCTTTTTTGTTTAATATGTGAAAAGAAAAATTTTAGATAGAAAAAAATAATTAAAAATGTTACAGTCATTCTGATGATTAAATAAATCACTGATTTGATTATATTAATAAAAAATTGGTCGAATTCTGTTACTCTTCCTTGTTATTATACAAAGCGCTTTAATAAAAATCTCGATATGTTTCTAGAAACCGTAAACGTTGAATCACGCTAATGCATTCTTATTTATAGATACTTATCAATTAATTTCTCATTATTTATTGTGACAATCACAAAATGACACAGATTTTTTATTTAGTTAGCACAAAAGTTTGATCCGCAAATTATAAAATACCCTGTATAATTTTACATTATTTCTGCGTGCGTGCGTACATGTACATGTGCGCTTGACATATAAGTGCGTATGTACGGAGATTTGAGAAAAAAATGTCAGATAATACACTTCTCAACAAAATTAAAGCATCACTTACTCTATCCTCCACAAATAGGCAAAATTCAAGAGAATGTAACTTCGTCAAAAATGATCGTATCGAGATGTCCAAAAAAGCATTTTACAGCTTGAAATCTCTACTTTCCAAATCGGTACTTGAGAAAACGATTCTACTGATCTTTCATGGAATTACACGGATAGAAAGGAAGACCCGACGAATCTCAAAATTTTTTACGAACTTTGACAAGTTCCATGGCGCGAATAAAAAACCGCATGCAAATGCAGTTTACAGCTTTCGAAAGAGTGAATCTTTACCTTTAATTTGCTTTTTTTGTGAGCGTTGTACGATTTTTTTTCACCGAGTTATTCAACATTAGAGCAAAAATTTCCTTTTTGCTTCAATGTTGAATAACTCGGTGAAAAAAATCGTACAACGCTCAACAAAAAAGCAAATTGAAGGTAAAGATACACTCTTTCGAAAGCAGTAAACTGCATTTGTGTGCGATTTTTAGTTTATGCCATGAAACCTTTTAAATTTAGTACACATTTTTGGAGATTTGACGCATTTTCATTTGGACCTATGTAATTCCATAAAAATAAATAGGATTCTTTT